AGAAAAGTTCTTGTTCTGCAGGAGAGAAGCCGAGTTTGTGGGTTTCCTCCTGGGGTGGGACCTCTACCAGCCCACTGCCCAACGTCTGTCAGCCATCAAGGACTTCCCCATGCCGGATCAGCCATCAATCACTGACATCAGGTTCTGGCATGGCTTGGTTAACCAGTTGGCTCCCTTCCTTGCCACTGCACCTGTGATGGAGCCCTTCCGTGAGCTCCTCAAGAAGCCAGTGGGTAAGCAGGTGTATTGGGACGACCAGCTGCTGCTCAAGTTTCGCCAGGCCCAGGACACCATCTGTCAGTTGGCCAGAGACGGCTTGGTGTACTACGACAAATCCAGGCCTACGGCAGCTGTCACTGATTGGAGCAGGGAGGGCATCGGCTTCGTCGTCATGCAACAATACTGTGCCTGTGCCTCTCCAGAGACGCCCTTCTGCTGCAGAGGAGGGTGGCGGTTGGCTCTGTGTGGTAGCCGACATCTGAGCACGGCCGAGGCCGGTTATGCTGCAGTAGAAGGGGAGGCCCTGGCTGTGGTGTGGTGCCTGCGCAAGGCCAGGCTGTTCCTCCTTGGCTGCCCGAACCTCATTCTGGTGACGGACCACCGCCCCTTAGTTGGCTTGCTAGGGGACAGAGCCCTCACGGATGTGGCGAATCCGCGCCTGTTCAGGCTCAAGGAGAAGACCCTGCAGTACCGATTCACGGTCAAATACTTGCCAGGGAAGCGGAACTGTGCAGCTGACGCCCTATCCCGCTTCCCCTCCCTCAGGGCGGCGCCTGATGCGGAGGACATGGACCAAGAGGAGGACCTGTGCGCTGCAGTGTGTGCAGTCACAATCGCAGCACTGGATCAGGATGGGTGCATCACTATGGACGAAGACACAGTGTGCAAAGCGGCTGCGGACGACCCAGTGTACCAGATTCTAGTGTCGAGGGTGCTGGCGGGCGACTGGCACCCCCACAAGTCGCAGGAGGTGGCCTGTCTGCGCCCGCACTTCTCGGTGAGGGACAGGTTGGCTGTGGTCAGGGGTTTGGTCACCTACACCTTTGACCAGGGCTGCGTGCGCCTTGTCATCCCCGACTCCCTCCGCCACCGGGTCGCCGTTAACCTGCATGTGGGGCACCAGGGCCTCGACTCAATGCTCAGGCGGGCCCGGCAGTCTGTCTATTGGCCTGGCATGGAGGGTGACCTGCAGTATCATCGGTCCCGGTGTGCTGCTTGCGAGACCCACGCCCCTTCCCAGCCTCCGGAGTCGTTGGTTCTGACCCCAGCGCCAGACTATCCCTTTCAACAAGTGGTGGCCGATTTGTTCCACCTGCAGGGCCGCACGTACCTAGCATATGCTGACCGACTGACAGGTTGGCTGGAGATCGCCCACTTCCCCAACGAGGCCACCTCTGGAAAAATCATCGCCAGTCTGCGGGCCTACTTCACGAGGTGGGGGGTACCTGAGCAGATCTCCACGGATGGAGGTACCAACCTTGCCAGCCTTGAGATGACAGATTTCCTCAAGTCATGGGGGGTCGAGGTGCGCCTCTCGTCGGCCCACTTCCCCCAGTCCAATGGCAGGGCAGAGGCTGGGGTCAAGGCTGCCAAGAGGCTCCTCAGGGATAACACTGGGCCCGGGGGTAGCCTGGACTGCGATAGGACATCCCAGGCCCTCCTCCAGTACCTGAACACGCCTCTGCGGGGGGTGAACAAGTCGCCCGCCCAACTTGCCACCGGCCGCCAGCTCCGTGACGGCGTTCCCGTGGCCAGACAGCACTATAAGGTGGACCAGCACTGGCGGCGGGCACTTCGTATGAGGGAGGTGCGCTTGGCCGAAACCCAGGATGGGGTCCTGTCGCGGAGGGAGGTATCCCGCCAGCTGGCTCCCCTAGTCGTGGGCACGCAGGTGCGTGTGCAGGACGCAGCTACCAAGCTCTGGGACAGGACAGGCATAGTGGTGGAAGCCCGCCCTCACAGGCAGTATGCCGTCAGGTTGAGTGGCAGTGGCAGGGTGTCCATCCGCAACAGATGCCACCTGCGAAACGGCTCCACACCTGTGCCTACTACTCCGGTGGTACACCAAGCTGTGCCTCCTGGCCCCCCTTCTGCTGTGCCCTCCGTACCCGCGCCCTCCTTCGCACCCACGGCCCCTCCCCAGTCGAGCGCGGCCAGGCCCAGGAGAGGCCGTAGGCCTCCGGGCTGGTTGACGGACTACGTGGTGTAGTGTATGTGATGTAAAATCAGTTTAGAGGGTTTTTTTTTTCCTTTGTTTGACTGGTTTTTCCTGCATTATTGTTGTTTTTATGAATGCATTGTTTTCCTTTTGTTAGTTCAAATGTGCATTGTCATTTCCTTTTAACTTGGGGGGGGAGATGTAAGATTGTACCATTGTACGATATGTTTTCCCATGTTGAGATGGGGGCTTGTCTTTGGCAGCGCCCGGTTGCCAGTCACCAGCTGACGCTGTTAGAATAAAGTCTACAAAGAACGTGGTCTATGACTCCAACCTCTCACAAAATCTGACTGAATAATGTCACCAGTGCTAATATGCAGGTACAATTTAGTTTGAGTTACTGTTTTGGCCATAACCTTTAAGGTGGTGTAAAAGAATCCTCGAAGAATGACATATAGGCCAGTATTTGGGCGACATTCAACACCATCTGTCATCCAATAATGGTTAGTAACATGGCTCAAATTTATTAAAAAAAATTTTGTTATTTGCTTATACAGGGGTACTAGGGTATTGCATTGACTCAGTGCATAGACTACTCTCTTTTAATATTTAGATAGAAAGCATAATTAATATTCGGAGATTTTGATAATGTGACAGTGGTGAAATTACTTTAACTGCGGTAGGGTCTCGACTTTTTAATCTTGCATATTCATATGGGGACGCATTTGTTTCAAAAATAATTTATTCAGGCGTAAATCACTACCCTGTAATCCAATTCCTTTTTCTGAAAGTGAATACGGTCTTAAATTCGGTGGTGCTCCTGTACTAACACGAACAGTGAAGGTCGTAACAAAAAACAGACCTACGGCCCAACGGCTACTAAGTTGATAAGTGGTGAAATGTTAAATAGATAAGAATAATTAATTAAATAAAATAAAAACCAGAAAGTGTTGCGACGGCATCGGGTGTGAGCTCTTTCAAGACAAGACTTGACCAACACTAGAGTAGGTTCAGGTACATTCAGGAGCCGGTGCATTACCAGTACTTGCCAACAGTGCGTAACAGAGGAGTAATCGATCGCCCAAGTTGCTAACGAACCGATCAGTGGTGAAGAGGATAAAAGTAAAAGTAAAGCTAATGATATAGGAATTTACTCTTCTGATTGACTAAACGTAAACTATTTACTTTTACTTTTACTTTTATCCTCTTCGCCACTGATCGGCTTGTTAGCCGCTTGGGCGATCGGTCACGTCTCTGATTACTTTTCCTTTTCATTTATCTTCTTCACCAAAAGATCGGCTCGCTAGCCGCCCGGGCGATCGGTCACGTCTCTGTCACGCACTGTTGGCAAATACTGGGCATGCACCGGCTCCTGAATGTACCAGAACCCGCTCCAGTGTTGGTCAAGTCTTGTCTTGAAAGAGCTCACACTCGGTGCCGTCACAACACTCTCTGGTAGATTGTTCCAAGAGTTTACAACACCTTACTCCGAAAAAGTTTGCCCTCACGGTTTTCTGGACTTGCGGCTTCTTCAATCTTGAACTGTGACCCCTTGTGGGGCGAGCGTCCGCCAGCTCCAAGTAAGGACACTCAACTGAGTAGTGCCTCCTGAGATGCTTATGCATCTCAACTAGGTCCCCCCTTGCCCGTCTGTAGTATAAGCTAGGCAAGTTCAGGCGCTCCAATCTCTCAGGGTAGCTGAGGTGCCGAAGTGCAGGCACCAGTCTGGTGGCCCTCCTGAAGATCGTTACGAGGGACGGACCGTCTAGATATCTGAACGTCCTTCTTATAAGACCCAATAATTTATTTGCCTGATTTACCTTCTTCTCGCAATGGCCCGAGAACTTCAGCTCATTGTCAACATACACACCTAGGTCCTTCTCACACACAGTCTCAACTAGTACATTTTCTTCATCCCGTTGGGACATATGGTACGCCTCCTTACCGTTGGTACGCCCCAGGTGCATCCTCTTACACTTCGTGACATTGAATCTCAGCAGCCATTTCTTCGACCATTCCTGGAGCCCACAGAGGTCCTTCTGCAGTTCTTCACAGCCCGCTTGGTTCTTAATTTCCCGAAATAACTTGGCGTCATCGGCAAACATTTGTTTGGAGGAGTGTACAACGTCAGGCATGTCATTTGTGAAACAAACAAACAACAGCGGGCCCAATACACTGCCCTGTGGTACCCCACTTGTGACAGGTACAGATGACGATTTCGTGCCATTAATCACCACACACTGCTTGCGGTTATGTAGAAAGTCTTCTATCCACGCTAGGTTTTTCCCCGAATTCCGTACCCTTCCAGTTTGATTTTCAGGCTTTCGTGGGGTACACTGTCGAAAGCCTTGGCAAAATCTAGGTAAATATTGTCGATATTACCACTCCGTTCCAGAATATAGGTCCAAATATCCAATACCTTGAGAAATTGTGTTAAGCAGGAACGCCCCGGCATAAAACCGTGTTAGCAATCTTTTACAAGGTTGTTTCGTATTAGATGTTCCATTGCGGCATCTCTGATAATACTCTCAAGTACTTTACATATAAACTATGAATGCAACAAAAATAAAATGAAAAAATAATGATATTGCCTACAATAAAAACTTTTCCTCAAGGTTATTTTTTACTTCAGCGTATACACAGTATACAGTATACAGTGAGAGTAGCAGCACAAATTAGGCTCGTTATTTGTTATAAGAAGACGCTGGTACTCTACTTTTATGTAACTTTAGTTTTCTAGCAATGTAAAATACTAATTAACTTGTATTTTTTAATATTTCATAATTGTAATAACTATATGTCTATCAATATCATCACGGTATAAAATAGTAAAACATTTTGTACTAGTATCTGCCTGCTTAGATGTATGTAAACATTGCGTCTGTGAGACACGTGGGTTGGATGGTGTTCATCGTAGGAGAGGTTTGTACTTTTAGTGCTTACTGGATTTTCTCTCTGAGCTTAGAATTATACCTTTCATTTTTGAAGGTTTAACGTAAGGGTACATGGTAATTTATGGGGATACACTATCACGAGAAGGAGTGTTGGTATATTTTTACTTTCGGACATTAGTCCCTTGGGGTTGACCAATATGTTTTGCCAGTGTATTTTGGAATCTGACCAAAATTTTTGTCGGAAATTGCTCGTTTTTTCCCCACGCCGACCCCTCCAACAATAATGTGGGGGAGCCTGGGAAATCGGGTTTTTTGGGTGGGGGAGAACACGAAAACGAGTCATCTAACCTAATCTAATGTACCTAACCGGTAAATTTATTTAAGCGCACCCAACTCTGTTAGAAAGTAAAAAATATATTTTTCTAGTGTATTTGTGAGTGTTTAGACCGATTATGACCTTCATTTCCGTCGGAAATTGGCCTTTTTTTTCGATTTTTTCGTTGGACGTTTTCCGAAAAAAAAATAGCTAAGCGAATACAAAAAACACAAAAAAAAACCACCATAAAAACATAAACTGGACCTGATCTAACCTAACTGACTAACTGACCAGGCCAATAAGGTAAGAAATAAGTGGAATCACTTATCTCTTACCTTATTGGCCTGGTTCTCGTTCGTCGTTGGAGTTACCACAATGCTACATATGTTGGTAGATATTTACATTCGTTCTTGCACTTAGGAGACTTTACTGAGGTTGAGAGAACACCATGAGATTGAAAAAATGCTATAGTTTCTTCGTTTTTTCCCCCCAAAACTCGCAATCAGCTCCATATAATTGAAGTGACACCCATCGCAGACTTCCATGGTCGGAAATGAATTTGAATTTCGAAATATGAGAGACCCAAAATAAAAATCGAATTTGATTGGGCCAAAAATACCACGAATTAAACCACAAATCATTTTAATTGGTTGCCCCCCAAAAAAGCTTTTGATTGGCCGCGTGACGTGTACGAGAACGCATGCGCGTGATGATTTATGAAGGAGAACCGCAGTGTGGGAGGTGAGGTAGGCGATAATGGCGGAAGATTAATGGAAGAAAATAGAGAAAATTTTGGATACGCTACCTCCGTTATTATACATTTGTTACGGTAATGTAATAGAAGAAAACTATCTTATAATTAGACGTCTCATTCGAATATGATTATAGATTAGTGGTAGGAATGTGTGGTGTGAAAATGCAGTAATACCGTACCACCTAACCTAACAACGTAACGTAATTTAACGTCAAATTTCACTTGTGCACCGGTCTTTGTTTGGATATTAAAAATATGGGATCACCTGAAGAATTGTCACCCCAGGTGTTGCCACCTGAAGATCATCACCCCAGGATATCCTACCTGAAGAATTGTCACCCCAGGTGTTGCCACCTGAAGATCATCACCCCAGGATATCCTACCTGAAGAATTGTCACCCTGCCGAACTCTGGGATGACAATTCTTCAGGTGATCCAAAATATGTTTTTCCGATGTTATTTGATGAGTTTCAAACAAATTTGATATTCATTTCAGCCGGAAATCAATAGTTTTTGAGAAACCACCCCCTTCCCTACCCATCAATCTTAACAAAAATGTTTATGTTTTCGAGTAAATCACAAATAAAATACCAACCTACAATACCAAACTTAACCTAATCTAACCTGTGATTGATTGTGATGTCACAGGTTGGCTTGAGCCGCCAAGCAGGAGCCTGGAGGCAGCCATATACAATGTTGATACAGTATACACAGGCATACATTATTTATAGGTTAAAATAAATTACTGCTCAAGTATCATCGTGTGTATTTACTTGCTGGTTGCCAAAATGATGCAAAAGACCGATAACTCCAACATGGAAGTTTTCATCACTGTTCTCTATTTCATGTCTGGAAAATGGAATTTTTTTTTTTTAACGTAAATTAGCCCACCCGGGCACAGGCCAAACGACCACAACGGGGCAGGGGGGGGGGATGGGGGGAATATAAGAACAGAAAGAAATTGAAAATAGAGAAGAAAAAGGTTATACAGTTAACCCTCACTTTACGCGGTCCCACATTCCGCGTTTCCACGTTTAAGCGGTGACCTGCCGGAACCTAACATGCTCACATTCCGCGGTGCGTGTACCCCATTACGCGGAGAGCGGCTGGCAAGCCGCGCCATTTTTGGATCCAAACCTCCCGCCATGTTGTGTAAGCGGCGCGAACATGGTGCGCACAAGGTTGCCCAGTCATCAAAACATTACCAGTTCTTCACCCGCCACCCACTACAGCCGGCCCAAGTCAGTGATAGTGATAATTATAGTGAGGATATGGACTTATATGAACTTTGGGGGGTTTGACAAAGAGGCCCTGCAAGCCTCTGTGGTGGATAGTGATACAATTGATGCAAGTGATACAGGTGAGGGCCAATAATCTGCCCTCTGCCTCGGAACCAACCGCCCATCCCCGTGTGCCCAGCCATCTTTTCTACTCATGTAAGTGTTAAAAAACCTAATATTATTGATATTTCTCTTAATTATTAATTGTGTGTGCATGCCATCATAAAGTTAAGATAATATTTTTACTACAACATAGTTGTGTGTCGTCAAAAAGTGGAGTTTGGGGGTCGGCCCGGAGTCTATTTCAATTAATCCCATATGTTATGTTATTCACTTTACGCGTTCCTCACTTTCCGCGGCACCCTGTGGGTTACATTAACCGCGTAAAGTGAGGGTTGACTGTACAGTACTGTGTTAATCTACACCACAAAAATGCCGGAAAACCAGCTTTTTAAAGTGAGACAGATTGTATAAGTATGGAAACACAGAAGAAGGCAGAGCATTCCACAGTTTGGTTGTGTGAGGAAAGAAGGAGATACTATAACGGGTTATTCTCGTGTGACTGACATCCACAGAGAAACGGTGGGCACTGCGGGCAAGACGTGTGTTACGAGCCCACGGCCTTGCCGGTGGTACACAGGGTGCCAAATCCACCGAACATTGCCCATTAAAGTACCTGTAAAAAAAGAGAGAGTGAAGCAACATTGCGGCAAAGAAAAGGGAAGAGAGATTGTCGACTAAAGGAGGAGAGTTAATAAGACAAAATGCCTTTGATTCCACCCTAACAGTTGGACAGAAGAAGAGCCACCCCAGATATGAGAGCAGTACTCCAAGTTAGGATGAATGAATCCCTTATATACTTGGAGCAACTGCTCAGGAGTGAAGTAGCTACGGCATCTGTACAGCATTCCCAACTTTCGGGAGGCAGCTTTAGCTATATTAAGGATGTTTGATTTCCAGGACATATTGGTGGAAATGGTGAGGCCTAGCATATTTATTTCAAAATGTGGCAGAATGATAGCATCCTGAAATGTAATTGGTGGGAGATCATCTAATTTAGAAAGTGTAATTGGTAAATACTGAGTTTTATTGCTATTGAATTTAACCATGTTTGTAGCTCCCGATTCAGAGATGCTGCACAGATCTGCAATGATAGAAGTAATGATATCAGCTCTAGAAACAGATCTAGTTTGAGATTTAGGAGGAAGGGTAAAATGTGAAAAGATTGAAGAGTAGAATCATCAGCGTAAGAATGGATAAAATTAGTTGTAGTGTGAAGTAAATCATTGATAAAAAGAAGGAAGAGAGTAGGTGAAAGAACAGAACCCTGTGGGACACCACTGTTGGGAGAGAAAGAGCGAGAGATCGATCCCTCGACAACAACTGCCATGGATCGGTTCTCTAGGAAGCTAGAGATTAGAAAACAAAGTGGGGGGGGGGGAGAAACCAAAAGAGCGAAGTTTAGAAAGCAGACGTGTTCCATACCCTGTCAAATGCTTTGGAGATGTCAAGGGCCACGACGAAAGTTTCCCCATAATCCATAAGAGAGGATGACCCAAAGATGGGTGCGGTAGGAGAGCAGATCACCAGTAGATCTCGCCTGGCGAAAGCCATACTGGTGATCCGACAAAAGAGAATGGCTTTCAAGGTGTCGGGGAAAATGGGAGATCAAGATAGTTTAAAAAATCTTAGAGAGGGATAAAATTAGGGCAAAGGGGTGATAGTTAGAGGGATTAGAATGGTCACCCTTCTTCAGGATGGGCTGAACCAAGGCATGCTTCCAAGAAGAAGGAAAAGTTTGGGTTTTGAGGAAGAGGCAAAAGAGGCGAGCAAGCCCAGGGGCCAGGGCTTCAGCACACTCCCTCAGAACACGAGGGGGTATTCCGTCTGGTCCATGCGCCTTACTCACATCCAACCTGGATAACAGACCGGCAACCCTGCGAGTGGAGATTATAGGAAAGTGCATAGGTTCAGTAGGAGGAGCAGGGGTAGGAGGGATAGAGTGGGAATTGTCTAAGGTGGAATTTGAGGAGAATAAGGTGCCAAAGAGAATGACTTTGTCAGAGGGAGAGTTGGCTATAGAGTTATCAGGTCAGAAGAGATGAGGAAAAGAAGGAGCTCAGAAATTGTTTCAGATGTTTTTGGTTAAGGACCAGAAGGATTTACTAGAGGAAGAATTAGTCAGGAAGGACTAGGGATAACCATGGCCAGGGGATGGGCTTCAAATGATCAGATGACATATGTAATTTAACGTGCTTCATAGCTGGATGGCAGAGTTCTTGATAATACTCTACAATCATAAAGACATCTACTTTTGGTAAATTTCTTTCAACTGCCTTGATGAACCCTGGAAGTAGTTGTCCAACCTTCTCGGCTGATCGGCTCTGTAAATAAATATTATTAGATAATTAATTGTGCTTTACTGTGCAGTGCAGTAATACTATATTGAATATATAAATAGTACTAAGCACATTAACTAATTCAATGGATATTAGCTGTCCTTATTACAAATTTCATAGTACAGCTCCTCCCCGACTTACGACCTACTCGACTTACGACCACCTGCACTTACGACCTGCCTCGGTCTTACCAAAATTTTGTCAAATTACGTATTTTCGAGTCCCAACGTCAGTACACAGACAAAATTTTCGTTTGTAATTCACTTTAAAATGGCTGGCA